CCATTATTCTGGGAGCTCAGGTGGCACAGGAGACGTTCCGTAGGTGAGATTTGTGTGTAGCCTGAACGTCAGCTGGAGACTTCTCAGAAGAGCACAGGCGGCACAGAATGTTCTCCGCATCTACGTCCCTGTTTCTAGGGCCAAGGGGACAAGGAACAATTCATGCAATAGCTGACAAGAAGCCAAGCCAGATCCTTTAGAAAAGATACTGAAACACTTTTTCCCATCTTCACTAACTGCACTGATTTGTCAGTGCTGTGTTTGGTGCCTCTGTGTCCACATCTGCAGTTGCGGAGCTGCCTGTCTGGGAACGCATGTAGGCTGTGAAGCGGCTGACCCATTGTGTGCTGTAAGCGGTCGATAGGCCTCAGCTCACAGAAAGTACTGGCATGAGAAGGGGGTCACCCTGGGGGAGGCTGGAAGGCTTTAACAAGCTTTACCTACATAGTGAGCGGACGGCCAGCGTGACATTTAGCTTTCACTGGAGGTTCACAACCCTGAGAGACCCAGCCCACACCACGGCCAACACTGAGGATCATAATGGCTCATTTCTGTTCTTTATTAGACAGACTCTTCCCTGTTGAGTAATACAGATGTTGCTGCAAAGACATTCATCAGTGTCTGATGCTAAAATGCTAACACACCTGTTCTTACTGCTACATATGCATGCAATTTGGTGGCAGTGGTTCTTGCCTCCTTGGGTTTGGTCAGTACTCTTTTTCAGAGGAGCTTAACTGATGATAGTCAGTGGGTTTTAGAGAAGGTTCTCTAACCATAACTAATGGGAGCCCTGTGTGAAAGGAACTGGGTTTTTTCAATGGGATACAACAGATCTGTGAAAAAGGGGGCTTCCTTATGCATCTACATGGAAACCCAGACATCCACATAGAAATTTACTGCAGCTATATACCAATGACTTATACCAATGAAATTGTGTCTCTCTTGAGTGATACCCGCGTGTGCAGGTTCAGGATCAGGGGGACAGCATGTGTGCAGGATCAGGGAGCAGCATGTGTGCACGGTCAGGATCATGAGGACGGTGCATGTGCAAGTTCAGGATCAGGGGACTGTGTGTGTGCAGGTTCAGGATCAGGGGGAGTGTGTGTGTGCAAGTTCAGGATCAGGGGGACTGTGTGTGTGCAGGTTCAGGATCAAGGGGACTGTGTGCGTGCAGGTTCAGGACCAGGGGTACTGTGTGCATGCAGGTTCAGGATCAGGGGGACTGTGTGTGTGCAAGATCAAGATCAGGGGGACTGTGTGTGTGAAGGTTCAGGATCAAGGGGACTGTGTGTGTGCAAGTTCAGGATCAGGGGGACTGTGTGCGTGCAGGTTCAGGATCAGGGGGCCTGTGTATGTGCAGGTTCAGGATCAGAGGTACTGTGTGCATGCAGGTTCAGGATCAGGGGGACAGCGCATGGGCAGTTTCAGTGGGTTGCTCTTCCAGCACAGCCGGCCCCCCTCTAGGAGGCCCAGCCATCCGTGACCAATCCATAGGGCGGGCTGAACATGGACACACGGCTGGACGTAGCCACAGATGGGGGACATGTGTTCCAGGCTCCGCTAAACGTCTTTTGGAGGCTGACAACAGACAGGAAGTTGTTTACGAATTTGTCGTGGCTGCTGGATGACAGGACGACACCTGGCGCGAACGCGAGCCTTTACAGCAGGCCACTTACACAGCTGAGTGGAGCTGGGACTGAAGGAGCGAGCAGATCGGCGCATGTGGGGGAAACGACTGGCAAAAAGGATCTAATGTTTATTCATACAAGCAGAATAATAACAATGTCTGCAGAATATTTGATTGGCAGAAGCCAATGTGAAAAATCACTACCATGATGGTCTATGTACCTTCAGACCTCAGTTTAGGCAAAATTTAAGACAATTTTAGGATGCTATAGAAAAAAAAATCTTTGGAATATGCAACAAAGAACCATTGAGTTATGGCCTATTTCAGTGGTCTCAACAATGCCTTCAATTCAATTGTGTATTATGTCATTAGTGATTTTATGAATACCTCTCCTCAGTGCTACACTTCTTATACAAACCTCAGGTTGTCATGCCAACAGGAACGGAGCCGAAGACTGAACACTTCACTTCCTTCAAAACAGGATTCTGGGGAATTGTGACATCCATGTGGTCCTCAGAAATTTCAACACAGGAATGAATCCAACCTTCTATTTGGGGACTCTAATGATCTTATTGTCTCTGTTCAAGTTTAAACCACACCCCTCATGTCATTAATGAAAAATAGCAAGGCCGGAGAGAATAATAGCGAGAGATTGTTCAGGACAACAGCAGTCATATCCTGAAAGTGAGCTTACTCAATTTACATTAAGGAAATATTTATATTACCAGTGTGGGATAGTATTAATCAACAGTGGCACTCAGAGTAGCAGTTACGGATTATCATTAATTCCTCCTAGTGCCTTCTCTAAAATACAGAAAGGTGCTGAGCTTTGCTGGAGTGACCTGTGCTTGTCATCCATAAAAAATAGGTATGGCACTAACACAAGGATAGTCAGCTAGACTCTGGCGTAAAAAGGATTGTTTCTTATAAGGAAGGAATATTCCAGTAAGTAAATCAGAAATCAAACCAGAGGTTTCGCCAGACGTAATGCCACTGAAGCCTTTGGGAAAGTTGGTGTTCTGCCGCGAGATGACGCACTTTTAATAAAACCGTCTGTTTAAATAGACAGGGTCTCGTGAACCACATAAAAGCAAGTCAGTATCATAGGAGTGAATTTACCATGTACTCCTCAACATGCATCTTCAGTGAAAAAAAGCAATTATCAAATTGGGATTTTATTATTAATAATAATAATATATATTTCTTTCAATTAACATTTTAGATACAGAAAAACAAAAGAACCGAAAACAAAAAAGACAGAACTTTAACCCTTAACCTTTAGTCTCTGTACTGTGAAAGTGCCTATATACTGATGTGCTATATAATAGTATTATTTTTGAAATGGTTTGTCAAACAATTATCCATTCAGTTTGGAAAATTCAAACATTGGTTTTATGAGTGCTGCTCGATTGTCATCATATTATTTTCATTTCAATATATATTTAATTTCTACCTTGGCGTCTTCATAAAACACACAACCAACTTTAACCAGGCATTTAAACTAAAAAAAAAATACAAAAAGTCATATTCACACAACAAAAGGAGCCTCTTGATAAATCTGTCTCCCTGTTGAGAGAACGATTTTGTGCTGCTTTACGTTTCTCATAGATTTGCTTGTGTTGCATAATTCTGGTCTGAATGTGAATTTTATTCAGTCAGTCACTGAGATAAACCACCTCAGACCTCCTGGGAGGCTCTTGGTATTTCATCAACCAAAAGGCACAACTGTGCTAGAACACTGGTCTTTTTGTGATAATGAAGAGCAGAATATCACTTTGGGCCAGCTAGTGAACAATCTCCGCCACTTCCTGTTGAGCCCTTCATACCTACCCAGCATGCAACTGGATCAAAGTAGCAGAGCATCAGACCAACCATACCTGATGAGACTTCTGCAATGTCCCTAATGCCCAACAGGGTCATTAGATAACATTCATTCTATATATTTAGAGGGACATCACTTGAGACAAGAAAATCATTGCAAAACATAGGACATATGTTTAAACATTTGTTTAAAAGGGCTAGAATTTACCCTGATCTGTTAAGCACATGGTGGTTTGAGTTAAACATTTCTCTTATGCACAAAAATAATTGGGATAATAGTATGCATTCTCTTAAAATGAAAGCTTAATCACCACCCTGCTCATCCTTATTTATATATAAGGTTTTTTAGCATGTTTTTATTATGCATAAAGGGTTTTTTTGTTTTTAGTTTTTATAGGAAATAAACACATCAACATGAATTGATTTCCTTTAGGGACAATATGAACATGGCGATGAGACAACTTCAACAGCCTCAACAGCCTAGCCTCAACAACCTCAACAGCCTCAACAGCCTCAACAACCTCAACAGCCTCAACAACATAAACAGCCTCAACAGCCTCAACAATAAGCAACCAAGTTGCTTTCAGTCTAGAACATCTTAAGTATATAATATGGAGATTAGCTTTGAAAGCTTTTAGAAGCTTTAAAAGTCAGCGCCATCCTTAAGATGAACACCTGCTTCTCATCATGCCAACCGATGAGTTGCTGATAAATTATGTCAATTCACAAGCTTGCAGAAGAAAAGCCTTCAAAAAACAGCAAAGAGTGAAGCGCACTGTCTTTGCTCAGGTAGCACACGGTAATACTTTACCTGACGGGGCACAAATACTTACTAATAACTCAGTTAATACTGAAGAACAAATTCTGAACAAATCATGAACAAAAGTAGTTGCTACTTGAGATATAATATGCGTCATGATTCATTAATGATGAACAAACATGAGATCAGTATTTCACTTGTGGTATTCATTCATACTTGTTCCTTGTTTAGTTCCTTAGATGTTCCTTCAGTAGTTCACAAAGGTTTACAGAATTAATAGATATAGTAACAAATACAGTAACTGCTTGAGATAAAACATGCATCACGATTCATTAATGATGAATTAACATGAGATCAGTGTGTAACTAAGACTTAGTTTGTGGTTAATTTACACATAAGTAATAGTATAATTGTATATTATTTGAGCCCTGTCATGTAAAGTGGTACCTACCACACTTTCTTCACTAAGGTTTGGGTTAAACATCTCGTTTGATCCTGAGGCGTGTGGTCATACAATGGATGACTTAGAAGGTCTGAGGTAACACCGAAAAAGGTGCAGTAGACACCTAAAGACAGTGACGTTTTCGGCAGGGTGTGAGAATGTACGGTTGCTCCTTTCAGACCGGAGGTAAGTGCATGAACGCACAGATACTGGATTCCAGACCCTAAAGACCCACTTTCCATCGAGGGACAGTGGGCCAGACTGGCAGTAAGTGTACGTACGAGCAGATGCTAGGTTTCACACCTTAGAGTAAAGACACACTTTCCATAGAGGAGCAGGGAGGCACTAAGGAGAGGTCAAGGATTTTAATGTCCAGTGAGAAATAATGGAGAAAACTAAGCTTTTTCTAAGATATTCTCTCCAAATGTCAATCATATATAACGACGCCTTCAAAGGTGGGGAACAAAAGGAAACTACCAAACACAAAGTTATGTATTTCTGTCCCAAATTCTGATTTAATTTGTGAAAAATAACTCTTAGGCTTTAAAATAATATTTCGAGAACTTGACTGAAACATTGGAACATGTGTAATTTAATTTAGCAGAAATCATGACCTTCTGTTGGCTTCAGTGCACCGCAGCAGCAGATCTGTGAGCCAAGCTTCCAGATCTACACCTTTATGTTATTTTTCATTCATTCACTCATGTGCAATGATAGGTGAGTAAAGATGACTTTCCAAACAATTCTTCCATTATAAAAATATACTTCTTTTCTTTTAAAATAATTTACAGTTTTTTTTTTTTATGGTGAGACATTTCACTATCAAGCTAAACAGCAAGGCTGCTGTCTAACAGAAAAAATATATTGAGATTGACGGAGCCATTGCTGGGACACAGCGATAGTGAATTACAGCTCCTCCATTCACTCCAGCTAGTCCTTTCGCTCAGGAGAAAAGACTACTGTCAACCTTCTATACCTTTTGCATAATCTATTTTTAAGTGTCAATATACATACCTTACACAGGCCAACAAAAAAAAGGAGAAATGACATCGCTCCTTTGAATCAAACATCGGTACCTCCAGACAAGCCCGAGAAAGTGTTAAAAAAGTCTTAAACTACACAAAGTCAAGATACAAAATACAGCAATCCAGTCTAATTACCATACAGACTTTCTGAATTTATATTCAAATTAAAAACAAAACTGAAGCAGAAACGAACTGGAAACATCGGATACTGAATAAAAAAAAAAGGTATTATTGGTAACCAAAAAAACGAAAAAAAAACAAACAAAACAAAAAAAAAACGAAAAAAAAAAACAGGAAGACATTGATGCTACAAAGAAATATATGTACACGACCCTGTTTTCCTGGTAAGTGTGCATGTATCAGCACATGGGGGGGTTTAATAGGCAGTTTCTGTTTGTATGAATATCCTTCAGTTTTCCAGTCACTTCCCTGCCCGGATTTTCCCGTCTATCAGTGATTTAGTTCAGCAGCAGCAGCAGCGGCGATCAGGGTCCAGGCACCGCGAAGCACCGCACAGAGATCCGTGCCGTGCAAGCCGCCTCACGCAGAACAGATTCCTGTGTCACCGGCGCCATCACCAGATGACGCTGGATATGCTGGTCTCTCGGGATAACAGCGGGAGCATGGCGTTGTTGGCGTGCGTCTCCTCCAAGCCGTGCTCACGGGGGGACTTGGCCTGTGGCCGCTGCCCATTCAGCAGAGTCATGGGGATGTTGCAGTAGGTGTGTTGGTTGCCCAGGGTGGCAGTGGGTGGGATGTCGTACTCGTAGCTGCGGTAGTAATGTTTCTGCCGCATCTGGGTGTGGTAGCTGTTGTGGAAGGTGGAGCGCAGGTCGGGGTGCGCCGTCGCCATGGCGGTGGAGGTGGCGGCCGCCATGGAGATGGCGGAGACCGTCTGGAGCTCGCCGAAGGGGCCCGGCTCGCTGACATCCAGGACCTGCTCGTGGGCGGCGATGGGCTCCGGGCGCTTGAAGGGCATCTCGTACTGCAAGTGTTTCCAGAACTTGGAGCTGAGCTTGCTGCTCTGTGGACCACGCCACTTGATGACGGAGAGCGCCTTGATGGTGTGTTTGAGGGCCTCCACCTCCTGGTAGTTCATGATGCCGCGCAGCTCGGCGCACTCGATGAGGATCACCTTGATCTCGCCCGTCGCCAGCATGTTCCTCAGGCGCGTCTCCAGCTCGAAGATGCTCCAGCCGCGCCGGACCACGTAGTTGGGCGTCATGACGATGATGAGCCGCTTGCTCTGGTCCACGCAGCGCGCCACGTCCTCGATGTACGCTGGGAGAGAGCCGCGACAGAGGTGAGACAAGGTGGCTTTGAGTGTTACGAAGAACATGCTGGCAATTAGCGCTAAGAAAGCAGGAATTAATATCACTGAGACACCACCAGAAAAGGGCAATTAAATGATGTTCTAATAACAAAATAGGCTGACTGGTAATTATGTATCATAATAAGTTATTCATGCCATATACATTATATACATGTAATATATATGCTGTTAATTTGTGAGAATTGATGACCGTATTAGTGACACCACAGGATCAAGCAGTAACTTTGGAAGCATGTTCACAGTTCCTGTTGTCGCATTTCTTCACCTGCTTGCATCTTAACTAAAGTACATATCCTGGTAACCTTACAAAGACACCCCCCCCCCCTTTACTGTTTAGCCGCAGGTAGGAATATGAATGAGCTGGATACAGGAGGCTCCTACGGCCCACAGAAGGACCTCACCCCTCATTCTAGACTGTTCTATCAATAGCAGTCGCACCAACCTTGTATCAAGATGCCCCAATGCGTCATACAAACATTCACGTGTATAGAAATACATACATACATATTCAGATACATGTACTACAACTTTATCAGCTTAACGGGATTTTATTTAATCAAAGTGAACTTCAACCAAGTTGAAACTCTTCAAGGAAAAGGTGTTTCTCTTTTGACACTCCCACCCCCTCCAAAAACCTTCCCCCCTTAAATACCCAGCTTGACAAGAGTCAACACAACACAAACCAGGAGACAACTCAATCCCAGGACAAGAGAAGCCATACTTTAAAACAATAAGTTAGGTCTGCCTACTTTATGTAATTAGGCCTCAACCTGACGAAAGTCATCACTGAGCCCCCCCCCCCCAGTCGATCTTGGTAGAATGTCTCTCTGTCCAAAGAACTGCTTCTGGAAGGAAAGCATTTTGTTTGCTGACACAAGTGGAAAAGGTTGGGGAAGAGTACCTCTAAGAAGTCCTGTATCATCCTGGAAATGATCATTGGAGTAACCTAAACATAAATATTTCAATGTTCACACTATGATCATACGATGCCAGAACAGCAAGATGTAAACAAAACACACATTGACATACACTATGATGCTTCTCCTCTTTCTCTGTGCGTTCCCAGTTTTTCCGTCTTACCATCGAAATATAGTCCAGTTTAATATGGGATCAGCAGTCACAGGAACATAAGGTGAGTGATTCATGTTGTGATATGACAAAGCACCTGCGGGTGTTATGAATCAGCATTCGGTGCTGGACAGTGAGGAAAGCAAATTAAAATGTAAACTTTCTGTGGTTTACAGTGACAGAAATGATGTAAAATGCAAATAACCTCCATATGACAATGACTGGAGTGACAGAAGATGTAATTATGCCGTGGCTTACAGTGAACGAAATGATATAAAATGTAAATGTTTCCCTGTTTACTGTAAGATGGATGAGGACACTACACATTTCTGGTAGATATAATAACACAGCAGCCGATATACATATATAAACAAATCTAACAAGACCAGAAATAATAATAATACTTATATATATTTTTTAACCTGGGTGTGAAAAGCTTCTGGAATAATTTGTGGTCCCCTCAGCTACTTTTGGTTGCTAAAAATCTGTCTCTTTAACCCACAACACAGGATAAATAATTAGACAGCAGCACAGATGCTGCCCAAAATTAACTTATATAAACTCAGATCACACCTCCATATGAAGCAATACAGGTGACTATAAGCTTCACATGAACATTTTTATTAAATACTGAAATATAATGCTTGCTCTGAATGTGACATACATATAATGCAGGCTTTCTATACAATTTGTCCTTTTTAATTAAATCACACCTCCGAACACTAGTGAGACAAAGAAATGTACAAGATTACAACTATTAAATAAAGTACTTCCAGGCTGCTTAGAAAAACATGACGGCAATAACTGAAAAGCATTAATTAAGATGTTAATGTCGAACGACATATACTTAAGATCACAGTACATGCACCAAAGATCATTATTTACAGATACATGGAATATATATACTGTATATTCCAATTCATTGATGACAAATGACAGAGAGCATAAGGCTATGGAATAAAAATAGGATGATTCCACAGTTCTCCTGTTACACGTTATATGAACAGAACTTCCCAGTGCCTGCACCTCATTCTCTGAAATGTAAAATAATAATGGCAGCAGAGCACTGACACATTATCCAAAATGCATAAATATCTTTATTATTTCCATAGAAAATACTGGAAATATAATGGAAACGAACAGACGGGTCACATGAACCACAAACCACATAGATACAGCTGATATAACAGGGTGAACAGGTGACCTGCACTATTTTAGAGAGAGAGAAACATGATCTCTCTGGCTTGTCTGATTAAATGTCACTGAATGGTAGGGAAATATTGATACTGGCTATTTTACTTTTTAATTTTTTTTTTACTACAGAGGTGTTTTGCTTATGCCTCAGTATAAAGATAGATGGTAAATGACTGGTGGCTCAATATTATGCACAGAACATGTACGATAAACACAATACAATTACAAACCAAGAACGATAACAACAACAGCAACTAATCTAACATAGAACTGACAAAGACCCAGCTCTAATACTTACTTCCAGTTGGGATCAAGTCCCTGTCTGGAATGAAGAGTTTATACCCATAATGCTTTTCAAGGACCTCTGGAAGAATCTCCAGGGCGAATCGTTCCTCCTCCCGGGTTTCCTGATTCCACTGGTCTGGGTCCACTTTGGTGTAGGACAGATATGCATCATAGTCCTTATTTTCTACAGAGGCACAAAGGTAGAGTTTTTGGTTACCATAGCTGCTACGTGCTAAACGGTACAATGCATTCTTTTTCCTGCTTCTTCTAGGGCAAACCGTGATAAAAAAAGATCTTATCCAATACACAAGCTGCATCCAGACCTTTGATGTTACAATTTGCTTTTCATTCTGTCCTAAATATATTGTAGAATACTTTTGTGGATAACAGGGCCGTTTGAATACAATGCTTTTTCAGCTGAGCTCTGAAGGGATGCCATAAGGGTTTTCATGAATTTTAAGCCTGCACTTCTGATTGTTTGAGTCAAAAATAACAGTCAGAATACATCAAACTCTTCAACAGTTTGGGATAATAATTCATCTTTTTTATATAACCATCTATCCACTATGATGAGCTTGATGCTTAGGGAGCATGAATGGATGACTGGATGGATGGATGAATGAATGAATGGACGGGTGGATGGATGTATAGATAGATAGCATTATTGATCCGAGTGGGAAGTTCATTAATTGCATGACATTCAGTTACTATGAGCACTTTCAGTGATTTCAATTAGCCAGACCACGTATTTTTGGACTGTGGGATGAAATCCATGAAAACACAGGGAAACATGCAAGCCCTACACACAGATCCAGGGATGGGAAGTGATCCTATAGCCCTGGTGGTACCGACCATGTCACCCGCTGAGCCACTTCATTAAAAGACATGATACTTGCTCAGCTCAGTCGGTCTGTTGACATCTTTCCCAGTTCTGATAAACACCTCGATGTGCCCCACATCTAACACCAGCGTGGTACAGAGTGGGTCTATTCTTCAGAGCTGTGGCAGAACAGTTTTATTGAGTGAGGCAGATTAGGAGTTTACCAGAAAGGGGGTGGGCTGGGGGGGGAATCATTCTCTCAAACCGTTGCTAATGCTTCCAGAGGAGGTATCGAGTGAAACCACCATGCGACACTGATCTCTGCTCTTTCGCAAAGCTTCAGGCCTCACTGTTAAGAGAGCAGTAAGTGACAGAATTAAGTTGTTTTCTTTCAGTGGGTTGGTTTAGGTTCTCCTGCTCTGCTCTTCCAGCGGGATGAAGAAAAGATTAATAAATATGTAAGAGTAGTATGAAGAAGCACGGTAAGCTTAACATTCAGCTGCTTCCTGCTTTAGATAACATTATACCAAAATGTCTGAAATGGAAGAGGAGGGCTACTTTCACATGCCGAGTGTTGCACCCTCTGATGAAACCTGGAGAAACTAAGATGGAAAACACAAAAAAAAAAGTTTCAGAAGTTAAGTTTCAGTTACAATTTTACACCTCAAAGTTATGTAGCTACTTTCTGAAGGCACATGTAACAGCAAAACTTCATTAACATACGAGTTCTCAAAATAATGTTACTGCATGTTTATAAAACTACGCAAGTACCTCATGAATGACAATAAAGCAGTTAAAGCTTAACACCCATAGCTCTGGAACTCCAAGGCCACAATGATACCTTCTGAATCAAGTGGTATTATCTTTAAAATCAGAATGGAAAAACATACAGTAAATCAATATATTGGTGGTGTACAGCACATATTGAGTATCTCAGATCGAAAGGTCAAAGTGATTCTGCAAACAAGCAGAGGAGCACAGCCTTTGTATGACAGTTACGGCCCCATCATCCATCACGATGCGGCGCAATGCTGACTTACGGCTTAATAACACTAGCGACGTGAAATCAGACTCTGTTTCTTTAAGTGAGAGATACGTGGGCAGAGTGAAAACAATTTCCATGGCGATGAAACACTAATCTACAGGGGCAGAAGTGGAACAGGTTAGGGGGGGGATTTGCAGGCGGGGCACCTGCTATTACAGAACTGCATCCTCCCTCCATTTGCAGAGGCCCACCGGGGTCTGTGAGGTGAATACCTTTGCTAGCTCAGTGCTATTATTTATGTAATTCACATAACACCCCTGTGTCCAGGAGACTCTCCTAAAATGGGATTCTCGATAAAATCACATATCTACATCTATGTCGGTCAAATCCTGACTCAAAAAACAAATGCGTGCAAAAAAAGCTGCTGTGATCTAGCATGATTAATTTATTCTAAATTGACACATCAGTTCATCTGAAAATGTCTCTTATGAAGGAATATCCTCACAGATAGGCAACATCATAAGATCCACTGAAAAGTACAGCACTCTGATACTGGTATGTTACACAAAAATATAGTTTGCAATAAGTAAATAAACATGGGATACATGTCAAGCCTGTCTTTGAAACCATGTCGATGTATAAGAAACAAAACTGAACAGTAATTGACATCTTGGTTCATTGGAAGGTGGAGCATGTCCTACAGAATACATACAATCTGGAAAATGACAGGATGAAATGGTAGGAGGAAATGACAGGATGAAATGGTAGGAGGAAATGACAGGATGAAATGAGAGGACAGAGAAGCAGAGGGATGAGTCTCGAGTCACTCTTCCATGGGCTGTGCTACAGTGAGCGTCACTGCAGGATTACGGCCTATGGATGGCTCAGAGATCAGCGGAAACAGAAACTCATAACAATGCTGGTCAAGAAAGAAGAGTCTCAAAAGCAAAGGCCCAAAACAGGTCTGAAAACAGCTGGCCTCCTATTACTGAGGTGCAGCCCTGATTCCACTTTGATCACTATTGCAGCAATGCCTGAAGAACACATATACAGCCCACTGTCATGTTCAGGACTAACAGATCAAGGCCTACACAACATTACTCATTCATATAGAAAAACAATATTGCTATACTATTATATATTTCTAAAGCATAACAAAATATTTATTTCATTAGAACTACCAAATTCTGTTTGTATACTATGTCATCTTTGCAAAACCTTTCTGTCTTTTACAAGAGCTATGCATGTTCACCTTACCCACACAACCTCAGTCCCTGAATCATCTCTAAGTGAATCTGACAGTTTTTTTCAAGGGAAGAAAAGAATGCATTTGTGACTAATACAGCGCAATCATGATGACATGACCACGCATTGCAGCCAATGAGAGCAAAACTGCGAGCTTTAGGGGCGGGGCTTGGTGATGAAAACCTTTGAGCAGAATAAGCATTCTGGTGATGGAGAAAAACAAGCAGGTCTTCTGAGAGGGAATCCCAGGGCTCTGGGGCTGATTGAAACTGATCCCCTTAAACAGGGAGCAAATTGAAAATCTCTTTGCATCTTGCTTCGCTCACTGGTGTAGTGCAATTAAAGAAGACAATTTCTCCTTGTCATTAAGTGCAGGGCTCTCGATTTAGCTCTCTTGCTGTTTTTTTAAGTGCCTTTAAGCTGTCTTTCCTTAAGATACCCCACCCAGGGCTCCCAGCACAACAAGTAATGAGTTTTTCAGAGAAATGTTTGATTCATCTAGACTATCCACTTCTGCATACCCTAGAAAGCTTAAAAACACCATTCAGTAACACCTTCCCCATCGCACGCCCCAGACTTCATTCCAGCAATCTTGTTCTTTCAATACATTCCGTGCTTTTTCCCAGAACATCTTATGGATGAAACAAACGACAACAAACACCCCCTGGCACCATCATGCCTAAATTTGATTGCGCTGGGAAAACAGTGCTGATTGGTATTCAATTTATAGTTTAATCTTTTGTACATCAGTTTAAAGACTTAACTTGCTTTAAGTGCTTCACAGCCCCATGGTATAAAAGAATGGCTATAATTGAAGAATGAACTGTGTCCATGTGTTTATAAGTTTTTGTTACTCAAATAATCAGGCAAAAAATTTCTGAATGGAAAATTTTCTTTAGTCTCTTTGATTACTATAAGCCAGGACTCTTCAAATCTGGCCCTCGGTTACAAATCCAGGCCTTGTTTTCAGTTCTCCCAGGCAGTTAGTTTAATAATTACTGATTTCGACTGGCCACAGAGGCTTCACGACCAGCTCACAGGTTAAAAAAGAAAGAAAGAGACTGGAAAATCAGCGGTGCTCAGCCCTTGAGAACCGTGATTTGAACATCCCTGCTATAAAAGCTACGCTGCAGCATTTCCTGCTGTTCTCTAGTCCAACAGAAACACAGATGCAAATAATAATACAAAAAAAATCCCGGATAACAGCATCTATTCCTGAGGATGCAAATATATAAAAATCTGTCAATAAAATCAATAGCCATTTATGTGTTAATGTAAGCCCCTGACACATGAGATATATATCGCATCAATTAATGCACTCATTGTCCTCTTCATTGTGATACCTGGATTACTATTGTCAGAGTTGGCATCAGAAGCTAGGAGCCACCTGCTGAAGGCTAGTCAGACTCTCAGCTTTTATCATATAACAATGACCTCCAAATAAATCCACAAATGGAAACTTCACCAGCTAAAATTAGCCGAGCGGCAGGCTGGCAGAGGGGATTAGCTTCTATCGCTGCTCGCAAGTGACATGGAGGTTGCAGGGTGCTGAGGACTTTTCATGTTTCCTTTTTTTAAAGTCTTAACCTGATGGGCTAAGAGCTGTAAGGCAGATCACAGAAGCCAATGAGAGAAACACTCGGAAGTGAAGGTTCTGATGTAGGCAGGTAAAAGCAATCGTTAAGGAACGCCTAGGTCTTCTGCGCCGACGTACTGAAACATAGAGCAGTTCTGAAATTGCAAGCCAAGGTTCCATGCATGATGCATCCAACATTAAACCACCTTCCAAACCGATTTTCCTGATCAGGGGCATAAAGCAGTTCTATACCAGTCCATTACAGGACATACACACACTCACAGTCAAACACACACACACACACACACACACACATATACACAAACACAACCATAAGTAATCAAACAAAATACAAGACCTTTGGCATTTTTTGTTATTTGATTGCATTCACAGATGTTTGTGGGGACCTAATAAATGGTCCCCACAACGTCAAAAAAACAGGTTTTTATTACATTGTGGGGCACATTTGGTTCCCACATGTAATATAAACCTAATCCAGACACACACACACACACACACCTAAATGCACAGCTTGAAATGCAGGAGGAAACCGGAGTGTGTGTGTGTTTGTGTGTATATATACATACACATATATATAAAAGAAAATATTCACAAACAAAGCTGAGGTCGGATTTGAACCCTCAAGAAATTCATCCACTGGGTTAAAAATCTAGAAAAGAAAACTCCAAAGAAATTCCAGTATATAGGGCAGAGCTGAGTGCAGTGGAAGCTGAGACAGTGCGACTGGTAACCAGGGAAAGGTTACTGCTTCTTTGAAGGAGCTGCAGATCCTCCCGGCTTATATAAAGTCCCGGCAGAGATGAGGGCAAACACGAGGTCAGAGAAGTCCTCCAGGAAATGACCTGATTTGTGCTTTTAGCACAGTTTACTAACCATGGCCTCCATTTTCAAATAACAAGTAAGCAGGATTTGAGTTCATGTTTATGGTGACCTTATAGCAACAAACTATATAACTATAAACTATATAAATTCTCTAGCATTGGCTGTGGTGTCAGTACTATGCATTTGAATATACGGCAAATATAGCAGGAGCATCATAATAAACACGATCGGTGATAGGATGTTTCAGGTCAGGTGACAGCGCGACTTTACCTCCATCCACATCGTCGCTGCCGAAGTGGTTCCTGTAGAAGAGCATGAGCTCGATCTTGTAGCACTTGTAAAGCGTGACCAGGAAGACCAGCAGCAGTAGGATAGCTCCCAGTCCTCCCGCCAGCTCCACCGTGTACATTAACTCTGCTAAGATAGACAGAAAGCATGGGGGGGGGGGGGGGGGGTGTTAATTGTGCTAATGATATATGTAACTGAAGACAGGCGGGACTCTCTGAAATCACACCTGCTTTACACTAAGGCTGGTTTCACCAGGGAAATGAAATCCTGGAGAATGATCTCAACACCATCAGGTTGCTACTCAACCTCATCTGCCCACTACCATGACATCCAGAGCACAGAGAGTTTGCTTCCCTTTTTCTAGCAGACAGTTCATTAACCCTGAACACACGAGGTATCAAAGGGATGCAGAATCAGCCAGTCTGGCTTCTGTAATTATGTCTGTGAGCTGCAATGTGATTGAGGTGAATAATTAGAGTCTCCCGGAAGCTCTCCGTCAGCACTGCGATCTACGCTACGCCGTGACCCCATTAAAGCGGGATTGTGTCACTGGCTTCATGGACTTTTGGGTTGTTTAGCTACTCTTTCATCCAGAAGAGTACCATTACTACGTGGCTGGTTCTCCGTACTCTCCTTGGTGTCTGTTGCTCGGTTGACCAGGAAGTGCAGAGAAGAAATGGAGGAGCTAAAAATGAGAAGATCCTTGGCTCACTGCACCCAAAGCCATTTCTTGTTCAAGGTTTGGTTCTATTATTTTAATAGGGGATTTTGTACTGGCCCCTGCTCTGACTTCCTGGTTACTTCCTGCATCTGCTGAAGTTGCACCCAGTTCTCCCAACTCTAGCCTCCTCATCGCCTAAGAAGATGTGATGAGTCTGACATTCTTGTAAGATTTAAATAAAGAGGTCCATTCCTCTCTGTCGGGGACCTAAATGGAGCTTTTGTGGAGGAGGGGAGATTAAGACGTATTATCAGCCAATGCTGTGAAGCGTTGCCTCACTCAGGTGTCAATATATTTGACAAAGCAATGCAGTCATTCGCAATTCATAATCCTTCACCATGCTGGCACTGAGTTTGATTGCGGATATGCAGGCTGCCACTGCGACTCATCAACCTTGACATCATTTGGACTTGTGGGGCTCATTTCGCCACACCTCCGGAGGAGAGAGGGTGATGGATCTGACTCATCATTGTGGAGATCCATGCCTGGGTGAGAGTACAAGCGTGGCCTAATCTGTCCGCCTGACATCCGCCTCAATCTGGCTTTTCTCACTGGGCCGCAAGAGGCAGATCCATCTCACCCACTCAGTCCAGTGTGCCTAGTCCATGGCTCCCAAGCCCCATACTGCCACAAATGGGAGCAGATCCTCAGGTCAGACAGGTAAACATAATAAAGCCTTTTGTTTCCACTCATGGAAGTGATTCAATCGTCTACATCACTGGAATATGAGCAGAAAGACCAGTACTTGTTCAAGATTCAGACACAACAGAACAACATAAAATACAGAATATCTTTTTTCTAAGTTAGATGTAGAAAAAAAAACAATTTGCACGGGACTGCAAGGCGAGTGACACTCAAGGGGAAAACACCATCAACGACCCCAGGGCTTAAAAATGATACATTTAAGGGCATCTCAGTCCTGCAAGTCGGGCTGGTGCTCGGTATATGAAATCAGGATGAAAACATGGTCCATTAAACCCACTGTCCAGAGGTCTGCGTCCCTGCAGTGCATTCTGGCAGCTCTGTAATTCCCACCATGTTTCATGCAGCTGTTGCGAAAATTTACCGCCACAGGGTGAATTATTATCACCTCATGCAACTAATTCAACAGGAAAAAGAGAATGGTGGAAGACTATCCTAGCAATAACTCAAAGGGAAACGCTCCTCCCATTCTTTGGGTCAGAATACACTAGTTCTGATGGACGGATGCCATTAATAACTCCTATACCTTATATATATGCAGTAACTGTGCCAGGCGAAATAAAGAAAAACAATTATCTCTGCTTGCAAAGGTAACGGCGGAGAGTTAATGGCCAGGTACCAGGTGCCAAGCTTAGAGAAATATGTGTTTGGTGTCTCAGGTTCAGGTAATCAACAGCTGGTTCTCCTCCAGCTCCCTAGGTCAATCGATTGTAGGTGAGAAATAGCAAACCAAACAAAGCTTCAAACAATGGCGTCCTGCATCGAAAACCTTTGCCATCCTTAACGCCATTGTGTGAAATCTGCACAGTTCTGTTTATAGACAGAAACTCAAACACCGTGACACATAATGCAGCACTGACTCTTTGAGTGTCAGGTGATGCCTTTGAGTGAGAAAGTGGGAACCATTGTAAGAAAACGCCGTGATCACCAAACAACCCACTAACAAGAAGGTATTCGTGGATGTAATGAGAAGAAAACTAAATTTTCAAAGTACGCTTGTCCCTTAGTTTGACCTTAAGTTAATTTTTTTTTTAATCAGCAGCCTGATCTGTGTGGATTCCTGTACATTTTATCAATTACTAGATACAAGATTACCACTCAGATTTGGCTTTCATTTGCATCGCATGAAATGCAAATCATGAGCTCCAAAATTGCTGGGTATTGCTCTTAGTCACATGGTGACTGAGGTATGTGAATCCCCAATAATAGTACTGTCCTGTCCTGTACCAGAACACAGACGTCTCGGTGACTTTTACTGTCATCAACCTGTGCAGTTTGCGGCCATGAAAAAAGAAGAAATCCTACTGCTTTTTTCCTGTGCAGTAAAGTTAATGCAACAATAGGTGTGATAAAGTGGAAAATGCACATTAAAACACAGTACAATTAAAGCAACTGCATTTCCTAAAATAGAACACCAGGTTTCTTCATGCAGAATTAAAATATGGAACATTGCTTACAGAATTGTGTGGACTAGATGTTATCATTTGTAATACCCCTTTACTCCAAACACTGTAGGCATGATAGGGAGTATCATTTGTAATACTCTTTACCGTAAGCATGATAGGGAGTACTGCGCTATAGATTTTGGGCGGAGCATTAAAATGATGTTCCCGTTGAATGGTGCAACCCATTAGCGCGATGTCTTCTGAAATCTTGTTACTGTACCCAGAGAGCCACGTTTCTGAACACAGGTACTTTCCCAGCTCAGGTGCCGCCGCGATGAGCCTTCGCTTTCGCGATCTGCGCTACGGAGCAGCTTCCGCATACATTATGCATATTGCGTCGTAAATCCATAAAATAAACATTACAATAATCACAAATATATCACACTGTGTGTGGCTGCATGCGGGAAAGAAGTGTCTTTTGATAGGTTTCAATTCAGGGGGCTGCTATAATCTCATAAAAATGTATTCAAATATACACAGCTCAGTAGAAGTTCTTCCTCGAGTAAATAAAATAGAACCGAGATACCTGCAAAGTCCTGAACAGCTACTAGTTTAAAAGAAAAAATATATATTATGCAAATATACGCGAACCCGAAAACTTCTGGGAAATTGAATGTTGTGAGAAAACCGAATTTCCAAAATAATTACCAAATCGCGGCAATAAACTTTATTAGTGATTCTCTCATCACATTAAAAACACCAGACAGAAATACTGCTCGGTTCAAATCATTTAATTATTATTTAAAAGGATGCATTCCGGCAGAAAAAGGCATGCTTACGTTAACTGTGTTTGGTAGCGTGGTCTCTGACTTAAGCATTCATGAGTGGCTGGAATCCAGCAGGCAGGAGGCTCCATTTGATAATACTGGTAACCATGAATAAACACCTGTAGTGTTTTACTATTAGTTCAACATATCAGTATAAAATTAGATTCAGTTATATAAGAGGGCAATCAATCAAAATGCATAGATTAAGTGTCCGCCTAGACATGCTGGATATCTTTTTTCTAGACATAATAATTTGGGGGACATTCTAAGTGGCTCAGTATCTGACAATACTGCTCAATATTTAATAGAGATCAGCCTGTGAGTGAGTGAAACTTTCGGGTGAATTTAAATTTAAATGAGTGCAAACTCTGAGCGAATTACATCTTTGCCTGAGTGCAGCTCCTTCGCAAACTCAGCTTGCGAGTGGTGCAACCTTTGAGAAAATGCTCTTCCCTGCTTCCCAGTGCTTCCACAGCCGCATTCGCACTCTGGCGCTAACTCAACAGCTAGTTGCTATTGGAAAACCCACAGTCAGTTCACCTATTTGTGGAAATGTCACAGGACCCACTGCATGGATGATGATTTTCATTTTTTGAAGGCACGCTAGTGCTGGATTGTCCTTGAACATTAGTTCTTCCTGTGTGGTGACACCTTCTACGCTTGACAGATGAGGAAATGGTCCAGATGCCAAGAAACTAATAGCAGCTTTTTAAGAAGAAAAAGAAGAAAAAAAAGAAACTCACACAAAAAAAAGTACTCGTACAAAAATAAAATAACTATTTCGGGACCAGAGACAGCTGCTGAGTGTTCGGAAAATGTCTGTCACAGCGCAGAGCTTGGCAAACCGAGCGGATTGACTATCAGGATCATTTGAGCGGAAAACAGTAACGTCTAGCGGTTTTCCGGAGCTTTCTGCAGATGCAGGTTTGGAGCTTTGTGCACTATCACAAGGCCTTAAGCAGAAAACAAGCACCCAACATATGTCAAAGCACATGAACATATTGTTTGCATGAACAGCATCATGCATAATTGATGCGCACTTGACAACAGTACTAACCTACAGATTCATTTCATTAATATCCGGCAAGAAACAATTTGTACAATATACATGAATATGCCTGTACTGAATATCTGTAGCAATGTTTGCTGGTCTGAAGATGAACGTCATCTGCTTCTTTGTCATGAACCACCAGCCTGGCTAATAAGTGCTTTGCTTTCATTTCCTGTTCCTGTTGGTCTGTGAGCGAAACAGGGATGAGATCCTTACCCCGCTTGGTGAGCTGGATGCTGGCCTGACGCCTGCCGTTTCCGTTTTCCACGTAGCAGGAGTAATTCCCCAGGTCCCCCTCCTCTACAGAATCTATCGTTAGGGAGATTGACACCTCCTGTTCTCCCAGATGTTCCCTGATGACTCTGCAAGGCAAAGCCCGATATCAGTGAGTACTCCGGCCAGTTGCCAGGGGTAACCAGAGGCTCAGTGCTATGCACTTAATTGCAATATATAAAACTGATACTGCATAATAAATAGAAGATAATTATAAACTCACACACAGAGTATAAAGAGAAACGCTGCTTCACTAACATACAATGAAACTGAAAAAATACCATGTATCTTGAAGGTAAAGAAACCCAGTTTGTTTGATTTTTAATGACCTTAACTTTAATTTGCTGTATACTAACGACTTTGCTATTTAAAATACACGTAACGACTCCCAGTGTGTAAGAAAACTAAATTATGACCAAGAAATGATCTTTTTATAGCAGCTGCCATGGAAACCAGGAGTTGGAGGAAACAATTTTCCATAAAGTAAATGAATCTCTCCTGCAGGGCTCATATTGAACTGACAAAAAAATACATAAATATGTATTATTAATCAGTATGGCTACCTTTCTTTTCCTTTATGGCCGCCTGACTAGTAAGAAAAGCAATTGGGTTAAAAGAACTGTTTACTGTGTTCTTTTATATTTGGGAAACTTTGATATAGTGGACGTCAGCATGATAGATAAGGATTACAATATTTTATTCCAGGGAGCTGGAGGAATATTATATTATACGTCTGATTGTTCCTGCAGAGTGGTACCCGACAGGTACTGTGAGCACCGTGACTGCATTCGTCGCAACCCCCTCTAGCCACGCATTACTCTGGATATAATTCCTGGACTCCTCCAATGAGATATCATATGCGATGAGGTCATGTGATCATCATGCATTTTTATTAAGGTTTCCAGGAGTTTTTCTCTCTAAGATGCGTTTATGATTACGCCGAAAGATGAGATGCCCATGAATCATTCCAGGAATGACAGTAATATCACCAACTGCTTGCTCGACTGTCACTGATCATTTTCATCAACGTTTTCACCCTCCAAAATAACTGCCCAGGTGGGAGCGGGGGGGGGGGGGTGGACATTAGGGATAATTCAACCCGCAGGAATTTTTTTTTTCTGCAGGAAAGTCAACAGTCATTAAGTGTCTCCCACTCAGTGCATCTTTGGCATTGTATGTGCATTTGTGTTATTTTAAACAAGGCTGGACTCTGCAGCTGTCTTAGAAACTGGAATGTCTGGAAATGCAGTGATACTGCAGATGACAACCTGAACATCAAGGCAAATGAGAAACAACTGGGAAAACAGACAGACGAGAGTCTGGAGTATTACAGTATGATGTGTGCTTAATATTAATTAACCTCAGCGTTACTGTATCATATGCCCAACAGACATTACTACTCCAGAAAAATGTGCTATTTAAGGGTGCAGACCAGAGACGGATTAGGAGAAAATATGAGGCAGCTCCCTCTAGGCCTGGCTTCCAGTATTCATCTCTGCCACTTCTCTTCAGTTCCTCTGGGACTGTAATGGCATTCGGCTCTGGTGCCTGGTCAGATGGCCAGGTACAGGGACAGGGTCAGTAAGGTTAACAAATCACTTCTCACTCCACAGTGGTGCACAAAGCTCACCGTGGTGGCCTCAAGTGCCACACTTTGCTTTAAGTTGTCACCTAGACCATTAAATGTTTGGACTCATTCTGATATCTGTCACAGTTTCACTGGAGGAAGGAACATGTCTGAGACCATTTTTAGCTCTGCTAAAGACAGCATTGGGTCTTGGTGTTCTTCAGAGTAGAGAGCTAGTAAAGTGCTTAGATGAGGAAATCAGAGACAGCGTTTTGAAACCACTCAGACACAACACTGCACATTAAAGCAGCACATCTGTACTTTTGCCTTATCACGCTAAAGACTAAAAAAACAGTTGACTAGAACTTGCTAACAAACATCACCTAGACACATTCATACAAATCAATGCCCTTCTCATATAATCATGAAAAATACTAAAAACTATAAATTCTTCACCTGTTCAGAAAATGGGATATAGAATGGTAACACCTTGTAACCGTGCAAAAATTTTAGCATTAACTGTCGCAGAATCCATTGACGATGATCACAGTGGTAGTTATTAAGGTGACGAGGTCAGAGAAATGGCCGTTTTTGAACAACCGAACCAAGGGTACGAAACTGAAAAGAAACTGAAAAAATGTATGGTCAAATATAACTATAGATTAACTTAAGAAGCCGTGTGTGTCATGAAATTTTCACCGGGCTTTGTAAATCTAGTGGAATTGAAGGTTATGATGGCGGAATAATAGAATACATTTTCCCCTCACTTCACAATCTCTGCACTGTACCATCCACATCAAATGCACCGCTATAGAGTGTATGGCAATTTAGCTGCGAGTGGAGTACCTTGAGGGGTGAGAGGGCAAGGCGGCAATAACAGAAACGAAATGGAAAATTAACTCTGGCGAGGGTCAAAGGGATCTACTTTTATATCTACAGCCAGTAAAATATTTAACTGTATACACAGACATTTGGTTAGAAATCTCAGCTAATCCTAGGAAATCATATTAATATTATGTGTAATCTGGGGGAATGTTGAATACATTTTCCTTGTGAGGAGCTCAGATATGTTCAAATATTAAGGACGTTGGCTGGTTGTACGTCCAGTGTAGCAGTGAGTCTCTCAGCTCAACACTGAATGGCATGCAGGACCACTTCACTGTACTGAATGGTTATTGTGGTACACTAGCACAAAGTCATACGATAAAATATATAATGCAAATTCAATCTATTTTCATTTTACACTATTCTAGTTTAAATCCACTGGGACAAATTCTGTATTCAAAAAATATTAGTCTAACTATTATGCGAGTAAATTGGTTCTCTGAATAGAATGAAATCACTTCAAAATTCTTGTACAGCGTAAATAATTTTCCGGAATTGTGAATCATTATTCATGCATGAAAACCAATAGCCCACCCATAAAATACATTTCAATAAATCTAAAACACACAGCCTAAATGAAAATAAATTCCTCACAAAAGCTGAAAATCTCATTAGCAAATTACAACATTCTACTGTCTCTAAAAGACAGCAGTTTGGTAAAAGTGCAGTGCGGTAATGAAAGTGCAGTGCGGTAATGAAAGTGCAGTGCGGTAATGTGCTATACCAGCTAAGAACTTTCGCATGAAATGTTGGACTTGTTTGCTAATTCAATTTCTCCTTAGCAATGCAGTGTCTCAGCTGTGAGCTAACCCTAACCCTAACCCAGCTCTCTCCAAAGAAAATGAGAATTTATGGCTGCTACCCTCTGCAGTTCTACCAAGACTTTCTGTGAATCAATACAATTAAGCATTTTTAATAGATCTTTGTCCAGTCGTGGTGGAAAGGCTTACGTGGACGATGTGTGCAGAATCATCCCCACAGACTCAGTGACTTTTATCATGGCTTTGCTGCAGTTCATTAGCATTGTACAGCTGAAAGTGAAATTATTAAACCTGAACGCAAATTTCTTGAAGTACAAAAAAGAGCCGAAGGAAAAAAGTGCATGATTTTTCTTTACATCTTTTATGCACATATGGTCTAACAGGCCTCGTCACGCTAAGTCTAGCACGGTGAACAGAATTATTTCAAATGTCATGCTGCTCAACGGTTGATTTCTTCCCTTCTCTGCCCTCCTGTGTGTGGCTGTGCTGTTTCCAGCAGCTCTGATTCGCTGAGCTTAGGCATCGAGGTTATTGGAAGTGTTGGACGATGAAGGCTTGATGCATAATCGCACCAACTCAAGGTGAAACAGCAGCATCAAGAGCTAGAATTTTTTTTTTTCTGAAGCGGGAGAAAGAGTTGAAGGACGAGGCACGTTTCCTTTGTTCGGGATAACTTGGCTCACCAGATTCTATAAGAACTAGGGTCATTAAGAAGACTTACGTGCACAGTTGGAGTGGATTGTCATTTTGCGATGTGTCAGCTCTAAGTGGCTTCAGAGCATAACCCAGCCTGACACTGCCAGGTCTTGTTGTCCCTTGTCCCATGCTAGTCCCCCTCTGTGCTACACTAATGTGGCTCAACCAATGTCCGCATTTGGCCTGGCTGGTCATGCTGCTTCAGTTCCTTGGCTAATAAATGTGGTTAAAGGAGCATCTAACCTTGCAGTCAGACTTCACAGCTAAGGTGTCACATTTATTCACAGACTAAGATATAAAAGATCGCTCCCAGGTGGCCACTAGAGCAGTGTTTCCCAATCCGGTCCTTGAGGATCCACAATCGGTCCACATTTTTGCTCCCTCCCAGCTCCCGACAAAAACGTGGGCTGTCTGTGGGTCCCTGAGGACCGGATCAGGAAACACTGCACTAGAGGAACGTGACGTGCACCCTTATCGTTTGACGAGCACACACAGCTTCATTGAACTCTGGGGCAATGCACTCTGGGACTCAGTAATCCTTGATCGTCCCTGGGCACAGGTCCGCCGAAGCGAGCCGGGCACATTTAGAGAATAAACTCACGGGTGATTTACTTCAAGTTCATGGCTGCCTTTTTTCACTCTCCATTTTTTATTTTTTTTGTTAGCCTGTTCAGACACGTCCGTTCCCTGTTAATTTATTGCTGTTTAAGTGCTAGACTAGAAAAAGCCAGAATTCATTCCAAAGAATACCTACAGAATGCACACAAAAATATAAATAATAAAAACCCATAAACAATATGGTTCCTGTCATTTTTCATGTGCTGAGATGATGGGGTATGAAATCCCTTGTTACAAAGGGCTACAAAGAGACATAGTTGAGTTGGGAGGCAAAATAACAGAGATGTATAAATTCACATAAACCAGCAGAGACTTACAGCTCAGTTGGCTGCCAGTGGAGCGGGTTGAACACTGCACTTCATTTATGCAGTGTAAAACCTTACTACAAAATTAGAAATAATCGAGGGGCCTTTTGCACATGAATTGGGAACTTGGTGGGGGAAATTGATAGAACATTTGTTTAAAAAATGAATTAGCTGTAATGTAACAACATGAATTCTGTCTCAGAGACAGGGCACTGGTATATCTTACACTGCTTGCATATGAATATGAATGCTGATTAATGTACACCTGCTGTGATTCAATGCATCACTAATTTAGAATACAGATTTAAATCAATTATGGTAAAATTCAGGTTTCAAAAACTTGCTATACTCCTATTATAGTTTCCTATGATAATTACTAGAGATGTTCATGGTTTCCTTAATCATTTATAAAAATTATAATTATTTATGCATATTCCAAAAGGAATCATAGATACATGTAACTGCTAATTTCATGTGTTTGACATCTATTATTCTCCACACTGCGGTGTTAGTTTAGTCAGGTAGTGCATAGGCATAGAAAATGTTTCCATATAATGTTATATAATTATATATGCATGTAAAAATGCATTATCGCTGGAGAATGTGTCCCATTACTGTATTTATGATGACTTATGTAATGGGTGCTTTTTGGCTCTTCACATTTCTTTTTGTTTTCCATTTGGTCTGCTTAACACCACAGACGTATGACCAGGGAGACACGACCAACAAGCGGTCACCCATACTTGATGTCACTCTCCTGCACTCGGCTCTCGTCAAGGTCCTCGATGAACTTCTCCCCCTTCATCCAGTAGATCAGAGGGCTGACGTCTCCGCTGTAGCCAAAGAAGGCTCGGCAGGTCAGGTTGATGGGCCCCCCTGTGGGGGAAACAGGAAACGCACAGGGGGTCACTTCCGGCCTACGCTTCACGCCTCCGTGTTTCGTTTGCCGATGGCTGGAGCCTCATACAGCATGACTCAGCCTCCTTTATACAGCTGCCTTTTTACAGAGCGAACTACCTTCCTCTGGTACACCAGGCACTGATGTCTCCAACCTCAACAGAAACTAGCAAGAGGCACACGCACCTCCGTCAATGGCAGAGATTATCTGCTCAACACCCAGAGCCTCACTTTGGCACATTCAGGTCACTATTAATTCCCCTGCACCATCCCGTCAGCTTCACTATTCATGCATTATTCATCTGGCATGAAAATGGTGATCAGCAGGATGGTAACAATTTCCAAATGGGCAGAAATTTTGCCCCAACCACAGTACGATGCAATCATCCCGAAAGGGATTTGTAACTAAGGTTTGATTTTCCAAAAGGTATTTACATTTTCTGGGCTTTTAAGCAGGGGTTTCTGCAAAAAGAAAATGGCATTCATTTCACATACATGATTAATTTCACATATGTTAATCATTTCACATAAGTCTTAGACTCGGAGAAATTGCATTTGGATTTCTTATAAGTTCAGTAATCAACGGTATTGGCACATGAATTCAGTAACGTGGGCAGTTACATTTAGAGGAAATGAACCAAAGGTTTTGGATTGGACAATGGACAGGTTTTTACACTGAAGCAAACATTGTTATTTCAGCACCATGGATAGATCCACACCCGGCCGCAAAGCCTTGTGAATTCAAAACCACGGACAGCTCTACAAAGGCTCAGGCATTTTGGATTTCAAGATTGAAAACTGAAGAGTTTATTTGTCATGTGCACAGAAAACTGGCAGTTCCACTATGCAGTGAAAATCTTACTCTACACTAAACTTCCGCTAAACACAGATTAACACAAAAATTAAAAATTAACGTGCACATACAGTAACAACCAGTGTGCATGTACAGACACACATATAGCAATACAATTCTCATTTATCACAGGAAATACTTAGTTCAATGTCACATGAAGACGTGTATTGCAGTGTAACATATAAATTTGGTACCATTTCAGTTCAATGGATCGTCAGGAACACAGGAGCCCAGTGTTACATGAGTCAGTTCCTGGTGTGGCTCAGTACTGCAACACGAGCACCAGCTTCTCTACCTCCATGTCATTGGAAAACAGCAATAAAAGATACTGGCTTAAATGACAAGATTAAATGATAATAAGACGTGGATGTAACAGCGGCTCAGATGTACTGCTGCAGCCTTTCACCGTCCAGGGCTGCAATCCGGCATGTGTGCAGTTTGTATGCCCTTCTTGTATTTGTGCAGGTTACCTCTGGAGATTGCAGTTTCCTCCCCTAGACCTAAAACAGTCTCGGTCCTCAGGGACCCACAGCCGGTCTACGTTTTTGCTCCTTCCCAGCTCCCAGGAGAGGGAGCATAAACATGGACTGTGTGTGGGTCTCTGAGGACCGGGTTGGGGAGTACTGACCTAAAGCATGCCGTCAGGCACACTGATATGTCGAAATCGCCCGTGATGTTGTGTGCATGCTCTGCAATGGGTCTGGCATCCAGTCACATAGAAGATGTACGAATGGATGAAAAATGTAAATATAAACATTGACGGTGCATGTTCCCATAAGGACAACACGAATGCCTGCTTCATACAAGACTGACTCCCACAGGAAGGACAAATTCCGGCCCTTTCTGAGTAAAATGGGGTAATCCGCAGCCATAGCAATGTCACTTTGATCAAAAAAAAGAAAAAAAAAACAGCATCTATTTGCCATGTGGATTCTTGCCATTGCTGGAGATGTCAGGTGCAGCCTGACAGTGAGATACAAAATGGTCAAGGGCAGTGGAGCGGTGCAGAGCAGCTCCAGGACACGGCAGAGCAGGTCCGTGGAAAAGGGGGGCGTCAGAGTGTGGGAGGCCAGACCTTACTCACACCTATACTCACATATATGCTTGCCATATACTTATTACACCTTACTCACACCTATACTCACATATATGCTTGCCATATACTTATTACAATGCATACACTATCATTACAGTACTGTGATGTGCTATGTTTCACTAAGCAAAAGAACCGATTATTGGCATTATAACAACTATATAAGTCTGCATACACAAACCCATGCCCTTCCGGGTCGGCCACTTCCCCCACACCGAACCACAGCAATGCACAGCCTAATAGACCTGTCTTCCCGTGACTGGTAGGGTACAGCGTGATTGGCAGCTGCATTTTCGTGCACGATGAACAGTTTGGTATAGTATACACACTCCTTGGCCAAAAAAATGGGCCAAAGCTTAATTTTAGGCATGTAGGGTTTGCCCCATTTTTTTTGTCCAGGAGTGTACATTCAAGTATTAAATACATACTCATTACCATACTTGTAATACTGTACTTCCTGATTAGTACATAAATCTTACAATATTCATTATAGTACTGTATACATATATATTACTAATTGTACTATACTGTATACACACACACGATCACACACACATCATTCTGGAACGCTATATACATACCAATTAGTATGGTTAACAATCACATACATAATTATTACTTATGACATAAAGCTGTCATGTGATTTTCATTTGGATTTACCATGATGCATTTCACAATAGAAGCTTATTAGAAAATAATGGAAAAGTACCATAGTAAATAAAGATGACATTCACTCATAGGATCTAAACCTAAGAAACACACACACACACACACACACACACACACATGCGCTGTGCACGCACACGGAGCTTCACAAATCCAAATGCACGGTGCGACTGGCCTTGATGAGGCTGATCTATACCTTCTCAACACATCTAATGCTTATCCGGTGTTTACCGTGTACAAAATCCCAAATGAGCTCTTAAGGTGCAATGACATATAGGCAGGATGTGGGCATCAGCAGCGGAGCACGGAGGAAAGCAGAGATGTGTCAGATGGCGGGATAAAAGGGGGAGACGCGACTTGTCACCATCGGACACATCAGACGCCCCCGACGCTGCCGGCCAGAGATGGAGCATCAGGATTCGGCCTCTGGCACAATCACAGTCACACGGCAGTTGCACTGGAATGCAATTAATCATCTCATGACAGCACCTGGGACTGATAAAACAACACTGTACCATCAGATGCTTCACCGCAGAGGCAGGAAATGGGAGTTTAGTGTGTCTGCGTTGGGGGGGGGGGTTTGGTCACGTTCTCATGCAATTACTTATATCAATATTCCAATTTCAATAAAGCTTCAATAGTAAAGCAAAATATAATTATTCCAACTTTTAATATTGCATAATTTTAAATACATGGCAGAGTAATAAGAGCAGGTAGTGTGACGTGTGTATGGCATTAAGGTGTTGATTCAGTCGATTTGCAGACGGGACACATGAGTTATGCCTGTGCAAGCGGCAGACCTGCCGCGCTGTACAGCCATATTCATTTCCCGATCTGCTGAAGCACTAAAATTATGCATGGTACTGTTCCACATGGGGTCACTGTAGAGCTTTCCATAGCTCTCAGGACTTGCTATAAAGGAAGGAGCCAAATTCTTTTTCGGGAAACCAGATGTGAGAATGATTGCTCTCTAAGTGATATTTCTTATTAAACAGCTTATCTAGAATGATAAAAAAAGATGGACTGTCAGGTGTTTTCCTGCTGTCTTCATGTCTTCGTGCACATGTAGTATGTCTTAATTGTCTAATCCGGTTGATTTTTACTTTGTTTTTAACATTTTTTTCTTTCCCCTTCTTATTTTCCAAAAAGGGAATTAAACTGCAAAACCAAAACAACAATACTAATAATTATTTAATCAAAATTGGTTTAATCATTTCGTAAATAGCACACTGCTGAAGCCGTTGTTAGTGTGAGTGCTATTTCTGAACATCACACAGCTTGGTCACCAGGATTTATTGTAATCCTAAGGGCTGGTTCGTACGTGGCAGTGCCACAGAGCATGTCATAGGGGCTGGTTTGGATACAGTAAGTGTCGTGCACAAGCCTCAGCAACTATTGAAAATTGGAGGCTCCATTCAGTGACATAGCTCAACCATGATCATTCAACCAGGGGAAAATTAGAAGGAAGTCAGGAAGTAGATCCGACCAACAGGTGATTATCAGTACTACGAACTTTAGGTTGTACTTTTGTTCTTGGCATGAATGGTCTTCCTATTTTGCCTCTCATTAATAAAAATACAACCAATGTGTCCTTGATATTTGGGGCGAGGGGTTCTTGGCGGGACCGGACTTGCTAATTTGCCTCCCAAGAACGAACTTGGGATGCAATCAATCATGGGATTGGTCTTGTTTGGCAAGGATGCAACAGATGCATCCTTGATGTGTGGGACGGGGCAAGAACAATATCTGGGGATTTCTGCCATCCTCTGTACTTCTGTTCTTAGTATTGGAACCTGGTCTTTGGCAACGGAAGATGATGTCAAACAGGTAAGTGAGAACACAAGTACAGTCAAGTATGGATATTGACACCCCTTTCCTACCTTTTATGATCAGAATGATAACGTTTTAATGTGAGTGCACCTGTCTCACTCTCTCCTTACCTCCACATCTCTCTGGTCACAGTACCGAACTACAGACATCCCAGTTCTCCCAGAAGTTCTGGGAGTCCCCTACAGAATGACCGCAGCTCCCTGACACCCGCAAATGATGCGTGATGTCCTGGAAGTCTGTTGTTATTAGTACCGTCAAAATGTCCCGACTTTTTATTGTGGTATTTGGTCTCCTGATGCTATTTAAAAAAGCAAACATTATTTCGGTATCAACCTGACGCAATTTGCTGAGCTGCAGCTGGGAGATAATTTCAAATGAAAATACCCCAATATGCGGTATTACTGTAATACCACCTAAGCCTGACCAGCACCACCCCCCCACCCTAGTTGTCCCCCATCCTCTTTATTGAAATCAATACGCCTGAGGTGTGATACCTGATACTAGGTCCTGGCTGAAAGAGCATACAGAAGACATTTA